GTTGTCATTTGTAATCATCAAAATTAAACGAAATAAACATTTGAAATATATGAGTTTGTATGTAATGTATGAATATAATATACAAGTTTCACTTTTTAAATGGAATTACTGAAATAAATCTACTTTTTCATGATATTCTAATTTTATGACCAGCACCTGTACAGTTAAGAAAACCTCCTGTCAGGTTTGTTGCTTTTGAAACGTTTTCCACACACTGCATTTGTTGATCAGTGACAGACTGCTGCATCCTAAATGCACAAAGGAGCATTACTGCAGATCCTTCCTCCCATCAGCTGTTAGACTCTACAACCATCACTGCTCCCAGCAATCTCGATTAACATCCATGTTTGTGTTTGCACATCAAACAACTCTACCTCTCAATCATTACATACATAATAACCAGAGTAAATTGTACATCGTTTTTTTTTCTGCACTGGACTTAATGACTGAGTTCGACTCATTTTGCACACCCCCTCGGATCCTGAGTCTGTCATGACTGTTTTTTCCAGTAATTTCGTATTTTTCTGCACAATAACTTGCCATATTTTTCATTTTATCCAAATTCATCTTGATAGTCTGGTACAGTAATTATTATTCTTATTTTTATCTATGTTTATTGTTTTGTTACTATCTTTAATTCTATTATTATTGCTACAGTTGATAATGTCACATAGAAATATAATATACTGTTTCTGTGGATTGATGTATGTGTCTGCTGCTGCTACTACACCTGAATTTCCCCGTGCGGGACAATAAAGGCTGTTTCTATCCTTCTTTTCTATTCATATTTAATGTTTTCTATTTATTAATAAAGGTGAAAAGCATTAATAGCATTATGTATGTAGGCATTAACTAAAGTCCTCTAATTTCTACACAGTACCTTCATATAATTGACATATTTCTGTATTTTGTTGCTTTAAAAGCCACAGTTTGAGTAAGCGGAGCTCTGTGGCTCAGAGGTCTTACCCAGGGGGTCTCCCAGCATCTCTGCCAGTAACCGGTGCTCGATGGTCTGGTAGGTGATCCCCACTACGTGGCAGATGACTGAGGGAGTAGATCAGGGACGTTTAAAACAGGATTATTTTCTGAGTCAGTCTGTAGTTTCTGATTGGTTGGCAGTCCAATAAAACAAATAATTTACTGTCATCATTTTGTCAGAAATCGACGCTCACATTTTCGAACGGAGTCCTCAAAACCAGTAATGCCATCGATGAGCTCCCGGTTCTCCTCCAGACTCGCCTGTGAGGACCACAAAGAGGAGAGAAACATTTTAAAAAAGTTTAATAAAGTGGGCTAAAAACAGGCTTTTGCAGGACGAGATGAAACCGAGGTGTTTCTGTGAGCCTCATACCCAGAAGCTCTGGAAGTGGCAGGTCTCCAGCAGGTTCCCCAGGTAGAGGATCTGCCTGATGGGACGCTCCTCTTGCTGCGACACAGCAGTCAAGGAAACAGACCCCCCCAAACCCTCAGGACAAAACCCACCAAACAATTAAAAAAACAATATTAAAGCAGAAACAGACGGAGCACCAAAAGGATACGTGTGTTTGGTCGATCATGCACTTGCAGAGAGTGAAGTCTGTGTGCGGCAGGTTGGTCAGAGCTTTCAGCAGAATCTGTGACGTCACATGAGTCTGGAAGTAGGCTGGATTAAACTGGTACCTGAGGAGTTATAAAGAGCCGCCGTGTGTCTAAAGATCAAGAATATTCAATCGAACCTGGAATAAAAACTGATAAATAATTTATGTTGGAACATACAACTTCAACACGGCCAGGTTTGCCTCCAGGTCGTAGGCGTTTTCTCTCGCTTGCGTTTCCACGTAGCGCTCCAACGTTGTGAGGTTTTCAGGGTTGTACCTGTGATGATACAGGTGATAAGTACCATTAAATCAACGCTTGTTTCCTGATTGTTTACACAATCAAAGAGTTACATGCTGAATTTGGGAAAATGTTTTTTAAAAGTTGTTTTGCTGTTTTTTTCCCCTTTTTGATAGCCGTTAAGTAAAACTTTAGCACCTGAATGCAGTTGTACTCAGTTGGCAAATTAAACTGACATGAGTGAAATGTATAGATGTGAGCACATTTTTAAAATAAACTACCCTTTTCTTCTCTTTTAGAAACATTTGCAGCTTCTGTTTAGTTTTCCTAGACAAGAAAAACTGGCAAATAAAACCTGAGGCCTATTTTCAGTTCTTTTAGTGGTTTAAATGATTTAAGTGTTATGGTTCAATTAATTCAATTCCAGATAATGTGTGCTTTAAAATTTGTTAACACATTTAATAATTAATTGTTATTATTTTGCGCATTTTTATTTTAATTATAAACACCTCTATTAAAGACATTGAGCTTCAATATTTTTCCTCAGTTTACAAAACATAAAAGGTCCTAATATAAATACAAGTTCAAATAATACAGAAGAGAAAAACATAACTCTTCCAACATATTTATCTTAAAATCCACAAGCAGATAACAGTTTTGTAAAAAATAAAAAATGTAATAACAGAAAAATCGATTTATCTTGACTTTTTACTATCGCAAACTTTGCTAACTAGCTCAGATCAAATCTAATGTTGGTTAAATCAAATTACGATACAGCTTCTATAATAACTATCCCAACCTAAACTGGATAAATCATTCAGCCTGGGTAAAATAGTGTAAATAAAACAGATCCAAAGCGACGAAGAGTGGTTTATGTTAGCAAACATGCTAAGCTAACGTTAGCACCATCGTCTGATTTACCAGTTATTTTAGCTAATCTAGTGTACCTGTCGATCCCTCGTAGGAGTTTCCCAACGTTCGCTCTCATCTGTTCGAACGATGAAGCCATTTGGTCCAATTTTATGGATTAAATTTTTAAGGGAAAATATATTTTAGCTTACACGTGGACCGAAAAGCAGAGAAGAACCGGGAGCGGAGGAGAAAAAAGAACGGACCGGAAACTACACGGACAGAAATGCCGATGGACCGCTGAAGTTTGGTTCGAGCTATTTTTGTATTAGTAAAACTCAAGCTGTAAAAAATGAAAATAATAAAAACAATAATTAAATTACTAACCTACAAATCTTTATAAATCGAAACTCATTAAACGGACTGTTTTGAGCTGGGATTTCCAGCATCAGTGCGTTATTTGAGCTTATCGGCCACCGTAGAAGCGAACTTACCTACCTAGGTGTTCAGGTAACATGTAAGTTAATAAGAGCTATAAAAGTATTTTAAGTGATGATTCTTGCTGTTTGAAATTTTTAATTTGATTAAAAACAGTCGCGTCCTCTTTCAGCAAGTCAGCTACTGACTGACGCAGCAAAGACTCGTGAGTTAACCGTTAGCAGCTAGTTTAGTTAGCATCAGGTGACCTGCTCTGTTTTAATTTTATGAGTAACTAAAGTTTCCGGGCTGTCCAGGGTTCAAAGGGTGATGTTGTCCTTAATTATCAAGTCGGCTATCCCCAGATGTGAGTGCAAATGTTTCGGTTTTATCGACTTGTATTTTTATTTGTTTGTTTGTTTTAAATGTCCTTGTGTGTTATTAGAAGTGCACCTGTTTACAGTGGAATACGTGCCAAAAACAAAAGGTTTGTGTTAAAGGTCGCCACTGCAGCTTCGCTCTGCTTTACGAAACTACTGCAGAAAGCTTTTCCAAACTCTAAAATCTACTTTTATGGTATTTTGCTGGGTTAGCATTTGAATTGCAAGTTTTCTAAACAGTAGTGTTGCAATAAAACATTTTAAGTCCTAAAATATAAATAAATCTGTAGAAACGTCATTATTTTTATGAGTGGCAGTATTTAATTTTTGTTTTTAAGCATGTGGTAACTTATTTGTGAAAGAAATATAAAGAAATGTGTGTGTGTGTGGGGGAGGGGTCATCCAGCTCCTGTGAATGAAACCCTACTGTTGTTTTCTTCCCTCTCAGACCTGAGGTTTCAGCTGCCTGCTCAGGCTCTCATCAGAACCATGTCGACCTCAGATGGACCCCCCTCTTCGCCCTACACCACGCTGGCCATCAGTCGCCCCGCAGAGTCCATCACACACGTCCAACTCCACAGGCCGGAGAAACTCAACGCCATGAACAAAGCTTTCTGGAGGCAGGAATCTCTTCGATGTGTTCCTGGAGTTAACTGTTATTGTTGGATGTCGCAGAGCTGTTGGGAAAACGTTTTTATTTCTTATTGAATCTTGTTTTTTTATTATTATTACATATTTTCAGATCTGAAACTGAAGCTTCTGGGTGTTTTTCAGAGAGATGGTGGAGTGCTTTAATGAGATCTCTGAGGACAAAGACTGCAGGGTGGTGGTCGTTTCTGGAGCAGGGAAAACCTTCACGGCCGGTGGGTGTCGGGCGGCCTTAATGCCCTCGCTTCCTTCACAGTCTGATGTTTTTTTTATTCCCTCAGCTCTGCTGATTTCCAGGTCTGGACTTGATGGACATGGCGGGTGACGTGCTCCAGCCGGAAGGCGAGGACGCGGCCAGGATCGCCTGGAACTTGAGAAGAACCGTCACCAAGTATCAAGAAACCTTCTCCGTCATAGAGAAGGTCAGAGCTTCAGATAATCACCCAGAACAAAGAAAATCTGAGTCAAAATGTTGAAGTGATTCTGTTCCTGTAGTGTCCGAAGCCCGTAGTGGTGGCTGTTCATGGCGCCTGCATCGGAGGAGGTGAGACTTCTGATTAAAAAATAAAAACATCATATTTTTCTCTTGTCAGGAATAAATCTTCACATTTGACTTTAACAGAGAAGAATCTTTATAGAGAAAAAATCAGAGCTTAAACTCGTTTCCCTGTTTAAGATTTAAAAAAATCTAACATTTAACGTTTTATTTGTTAAATCTAACACTTCCTGTCTTTTATTAGTTTTATCACAGCAACATCTGAACTCTTTAATGTCTTTAAATCTGAATTATATCACTAAAAACTGAATTAAGTTCTGATTTGTGAAAAACATTTTACACGGTTTTTAAAAAATGGACATTTAAAATATTTATATTTGCATTTGATAAACTTAAAATTTAAATCCATTTATTCATTTAATTTAAAAACAAAAGAAATTCACTTACAAAAAAATACATCAAATAAAATGAAAGGTAGCACAAAGAAAAAAAATCTTATATCTGCCCCATGTAAAAAAAATATTAAATAATAATAATAAAAATTTCAAACAGTAACAATGTTTAAGTAAAAAAAATTAGGTTATTCTCACATTTGATACTTGGTCCATCATTAAAATAAAATATACACTAAAACTTTGACTTTGATGCTTTAACTATTCAGAATCTTTATCAGCTTTTGTTTTTGTTTTCATCTTCTGTATTGGTCCAACTTTTAAGTTTCTCAGTATTTTAGGATTATTTGTGTTTTTGTGCGTTAATGTGCTGATTTGAATTCCTTGACATTAGAATTCCTGTTTCTGTGATTTTTGTTTCATTTATTCATGTGAGGAGTGAAAGCAGCCGTCATGTTTCAGTTTGTTGTGTTTTGTTCCAACAGGAGTCGATCTGATTACAGCCTGCGACATTCGCCTCTGCAGCCAGGACGCCTGGTTTCAGGTTAAAGTACGTGGAAAATATAGAGTTAAACTAAACAACAAAATAATCTCAACACAAAACTGAGGGAAGAATCGGAGTAATAAAGAGAAACAGAAAGATGGACTGAACCTGGGTGCTTTGATACAAAAACAAGTTTCCTTAGAACTTGAGTTCACTTTAATGAAAAGAATAATTTTAAATCAGAAAAGACCTTTAAGGTTTAACATCTGTGCAGAGTGAGAGGTCTGTTTGTTAAAGAGCTCTGAAGCCAAATTAAAACAGTTAGTCTCAGGTGTTTCTGTCTCTACAGGAAGTGGATATCGGACTCGCAGCAGACGTCGGAACCCTTCAAAGACTTCCCAAAGTGATCGGCAGCCGCAGGTGAACCAAACCCATTTTTATTTGTTTTAGTTTCACTCACGACCTTTTTAAAACTGCATTAAATGACCCTGTGTGTTTTCATGCCTCTGTTTCAGTCTGTTAGACTTTGTTGATAAATGAAGTTTGACCATGTTTCTGCCCTGTGGTGTCGTGTCTGTTTCAGTCTGGTGAACGAGCTCGCTCTGACAGCCAGGAAAATGTACGCCGATGAAGCCAAGAGCAGCGGGTTGGTCAGGTAAAAACACAGGCTGTCATTAAATCGGACTAAAACGAGCACTGCTGCCGACTCCTCAGGCAGAAAACTCGCTGCTCTATCCTGAAAGCTACTTGATGTCATCGCCTAGTTTTCATATGTGGACATTTGTCAATAATTGTGATCTAGGCTGTTGGAGAGATCCCTGCACCACTCGCTGCTCGAAAGCAGTGTCAAAGTCTCTAATAACACCGGGGGGAAAAAACATCGCTAGATTTGTCGCTTTTAGAAGAAAAAATAAAAAGTCCTTAGTGGGGTCAGAAAACACACTAAATCTAGTGACAAAGTTGGCAAAACTAAAAACAAGATGTTTGTAGTGTAGTTTTAGCTCAGTATGTAAAACTGAGTTACAGTTAATTAATGGTCATCTTCAATCCAGCTGACCCCAAATTGTAATCAGTTGTATATATTTACTCAGTTTTATTAGAATCAGCTCAGTGGTTTGTCAGATACTTTTTCTAACTGAAGCAGACACACAAAACAGGTAAATAAATGCAGCTCAAACAGTAAATTACTGTTAACTTAGTGTTTAACTTTTTAATGGTGCCACATTTGTAAGGAACATGCATTTGTGGGATGAGGAGTAAAGCTGAGGATGTGGGTTCATGAAAAATTTGTCAAATCTTCTGTCAGCTGATTTTGTTGACTCGTTTTGCCAATTATAGGATTTACTGCCAAGAATTTTTACAACAAATCAATCACTAATTTTCTTACTTTTTGTGCCAAGTTTACATTATTAATAATCATTAAGTGAGATGAGACAATACTTTTACACATTAAAGTTAATTTACTGTCTTGTTAACATTGAATTGTATTTTATAAATACAAGTAGCTTTTAGTTTTTTTTTTTTGTATTCATCAAGTGATTAATAAATGTGAGCCATCATATCGAAATGAGGATTGTCAAATTTGGTCAAAATGACCTAATTACATTTTCAGATTCCTGCTTTAAGAGCTACATTTTGACACCTGGATCATTCTGATATCATAAGTGCATCCAGAGATACGACTTAATTTGTCTTGTTGGTAACAATAATACAACAATACTTGGTCTGAATCCTAATTTTAATGAGGAATTTTTGATGTCCTTATAAAGAGGAAACTTCAAATATTATTTGAATATTGAGATTTCCCAGCTGGAATGAAACAAAACATTTCTAGCTCACAGGGAAAATCTCTAAATATTTTGCTCAAATTCAGTGTTTTTGTTGCTGCTGCACAAAAATTAGTTTTATGATTATATTTCAGACAGCTCATTCAAATGATACATTGATAAAGCATTTATTCATTATGTTTTGACTCTATTTGCCTATTTCTCTATAAACCACTTTTAGACTTAATCCTCATTTCGATGTGACGGGTCATAAATAATATTGTTACTTAACTCTTCAGCTCTGTAGTAATTCTTTCCCTCCGCCTGCAGCCGGGTGTTTGCAGACCAGGAGGCCCTGATGGCCGGAGCCCTGGAGGTGGCGGGGGAGATCGCAGCTCGCAGTCCTGTGGCCGTGCAGGGAACCAAACTGAACCTGATCTACTCCAGAGACCACAGCGTAGCTGAGGGGCTGCACTACATGGTGAGGACAACTCTCTGCTCTTCTACTGAGCCTTAAAAATGATCTGAGCAACAGATCCTGCTCCGGTTAGAGGAAGCAGCGTCATCCTGCAGCTAACGCAGTGTTTACGTCTGCAGGCGGCGTGGAACATGAGCATGCTTCAGACTCAGGATGTGATGAAGTCAGCTCAGGCTGCCATGGAGAAGAAGAGTCCCAAGACGGTGACGTTCTCCAAACTGTGAGCTCTGCTGCAGGAGAGTTGAACAGTTTGTTTTTTAAACTCTCTGTCTGCAGAGGAAACCTTTTCAGTTTTTACTGAGCTGCTGCCAAAACTAACATCTGTTGAGTACTTTCTGTGTCTCAGTGATTTGTTTAAAAGCTTCTGAAACAGAATTTAAAGGATTTCATTTTGTTTAGATGATTTTTTTTTCTGCTGCAATGATGGTTTGATTAAAACAAAACAAAAGATTACCATAATGCCATTTCTATAAACAACTATCTTCATGAATGTGTTTTTTTAAGTTTTGAAAGTTAAATATTCAGCTCTTTAGAATAAATTAATTTTCAGACGAAACTGTTCATAAAATGGTTTATTGATGTAAAATCTACAAATAAATTAACATAAATTAAAACACTAAAAGAATCAAAGATTGTCTTCATGTCACCGAGTCTGTTTGGCACGAAGCTTCTGTAACGTTTTCTGTGGAGATTAAAAAAAATTAAAAGTTGATGAGCAGCAGTTTGACACCTGCAGAATGTTTTTTTTAAATAAAAACCTTGTGGAACTCTTTGGCCTTCAGTCTGTTTTTGGCATAATCTTCTTGTCTGGTCCTGATGGTTTTCAGATGTTTGACCTCCTCCAGCTGCTCGTACAGCCTACACACACACACACACACACACACACACACACAGATCAGATCAGTCAGAAGGTTAACGAGCTGAGAGGAAATGGATCCGGATCAAACCTCTGAGTTCTCCTGTGCATCACAGACAGGTTGTGTTTCCTCTGCTCTGCAGTGCAGATCTTCAGCTCAGCTGCTGGTTTCAGGCTGGAGCCATGATCTGAGAGGAAACAAGATTGTTACAAACAGCTGATTTATTTTTGACAAGTTCATTTAAAAGAATCTACAGAGACCAATAGAAGAACCAGTTTTGGATCTAAAACCAGTTCTAACTTCAGAGCCACTGGTTATTTTTGACACTTGACACATTTTTTTAAGTAAGTGTAAATTAATAAGGTAAGATATATTTTTATTGTGCCCTAAGAGGAATTTGTTGCAGGCAGAGGTGCAGTGAAGACATACAAACACATTAAGAACAAAAGAAAACCAAACATTTCCCAGTGTAATTCTCAATAAAACAGCTGAACTGAAACATGACATCTGAAACTACAAACAGGAAATTTGCACCAAAGACAAAAGTATTGCACATCCCGACAACTCATCTTCATTGATTTTATAAAACCAACAATAAAGATTAAAATTTATTAAAACTATCATAATCAACATAAGATTAAAAACTAATCAAGGTTTGTAAGGTAAAGAAATGGATGATGGAAGATAATTTCAAACTGTTAACTTTGTAATGAATTGCTCTATAACATTTCCTCGAAGGTAATCTGCAAACAGAACCTGAGGCGGGTCCTGCAAGATCCTTTTTGCCTGTTTGATTACAGTGACCTCAGGCTGCAACGGCTGAAAACTTGAACCCAATCATTTTCATTGAGGTTTTATTATATTAATGTAAATGTACCTGAAGAGGGAAGCTGTGAGGTTTTTGTCCCGCTGTTCTTCTGAGGTTCTGAAGTAGTCCTTGCCATCCAGGTGATGGATCCGGCTCTAACTGGATCTTGGTTCTGAGGTTGAGTTTTTGCTCGAGCTGCTTTGGTTTTCATCTCCTGCACCCTGCGGCTGGAGCTCTGAAGGAGAGCCGTGTGTTTCTGCAGGAAGACCTCCTGCAGGTCTTTCCCTGGACCCCACTGGAACTCCAGGACGGTCCCTGAACAGAAACATTTGATCACTTTTCATGATGCAAACATTTCCTTTTCAGTCACGTGCTTTAAACATCAGAGGCAGCTGTTCCTGCAGGAAATCTGTCGAGCAAAATCAAACTTTAAAATCAACGTGAGGCCATCCAGATGTTTGGTGTTTTCAGCTTGGCTCACTCAAACATTCCCTGGATGTTAAAGCTAGCAGATTTACTGTTCGCACCTTTTTGTTCTCTATTTATGTAACAATGAGTTTGACTTTATGTTATTGTGTAAGAAAATGTTTGGAGAAAAAACAAAAACAAAGATTATCCAAGGCTGTTGGAACTGAAGTAGGGGTGAGGAGGGTGCTGCACAGATGTCTAGATGCACGAATGAAAGATTGATGAAAACATTTTGTTTTTAATCTGGTGCAGAAACAGCAGTGTCGTGTTTGTAACAGGAAGTGGTTCTCAAACAGTTTACATGGATAAATAAAGGTTAAATAAATAAAAAATGTTTTTGTTGATGGTACCTGAACGTGCCTGACGTTGGTCCTCAGGGGTCTCCTTTGGTAACGATGTAGAAACAAGCTCCTGGTGAACAAACGGTTCAGAGATCAAACAACCTGCAGCACGAGTCAAACTGAGCATCTGTTAAATACCTCCGTCTGTTCGTCCTCTTTCACCCCCCCAGAGAGGGGGTCCTCCTGAACGGTCTCTTCTACGATGGTGGTCTCCTCATCCTGGAGCGTGGTGTCCGTCAGACTCACTAACGTTATCTGGGACTGCTCAAGGATCCCCTCCTCCTCGGCTGCTTCCTGACAGACAGGAGTGTGACGTGAGTTCAGGATTAAATCAATATTGACAGAGAGAAAGAGAAAAACCCACTTTTATTTTGTCTGAAACAAGAAGAAACTCGTGGTTTTCTCCTGCACTGTGCTCACTGACGGCCTCAGTGACAACAGAGTCCTGAGGACGACTCTCTGAGAGGACGAGCTGGGAGAAGGACTCCTGTAAGGAGGGGGAGGTTCTCTCTTCTGCTCGAAGCTGCTCAGGCGACGGTTCAAACCCCACAGAAGGTGTGGAAAAGCCGAGGGAACCCTCAGGAACGTCGTGTTCAGGCAGGTGAAAGGTCGCGGGGGGGTCGGCTGTTTCATTGTGGGTGATTTCAGCCTCCAGAGGGTGGAACACATCTGAGCCTGAAACAGTAAAAACCATCAGAAATGAAGTTTTTATAATCTGAAGCTGTTAAATCTTTAACTCTAAAGCCCCAAGGGGTTTTCTTGAAGTTTTTGCTTTAAATCCCATGCTGAAATGTAACTGAGTGTATCTCAGCATTTACAAACTACTTAAATCATCTTGGTATCAAAATAAAGCAACACTTGAGAGATGTCATCAGAAGTGTAAAAATTAAAACAGCTTCTGTGGTTTTAGACATATTAGGGATGGAACTTTTGTTTTCTTCTGTATGAATAATTTTTTCATTAGACAGTATATAACCTATTTAAAATCATAATGAATCAGGCTAAAAACTATTGGAAACCATAAATCCACTTGTGGACATCACCTGTGCAAAGATTTGTGCTGCTGAAATTAACTGGAGCAAAGTTACAGAGGTTTTAGTAAAGAAATAATTTAGCATTTAGTCATTCTGCACAGGACAGACCATGATGGTACCATTAATAAATGTTAAGAAATCTGAAGATTTTACTTCCAAAGTTTTATTTTTTCTTACCTGCCTTAAAAGACTTGTTATTGAATGTTTGTTCTTTTGAAAAGTTATCCAAACATTTATTTGTCACCATATATATTATATAAAATAATGAGAAATTATATTTGACTTCAGTTGGATCATATTCACTCTAAATCAAGTAACTAAAATCTTTCAACACACTTTACAACATTTAGGTATACTTGGACTTGATTTAAAAACAAATATCACTTTCCATTTGTTGTAATGTATTTACAGATTTGTTGTAATTATTTACAGATTTGTTGTAATGTGTTTACAGATTTGATGTAATTATTTACAGATTTGTTGTAATGTGTTTACAGATTTGTTGTAATTATTTACAGATTTGTTGTAATGTGTTTACAGATTTGTTGTAATGTGTTTACAGATTTGTTGTAATTATTTACAGATTTGTTGTAATGTGTTTACAGATTTGTTGTAATTATTTACAGATTTGTTGTAATTATTTACAGATTTGTTGTAATTATTTACAGATTTGTTGTAATTATTTACAGATTTGTT